TTTAAAAAAATCCCCGATTTTTGATGGAAAAACGTAACTCTACATCCACATTTTTCCATGATGTAAATGCAACACCACTAATATATCTAGATCTAGATCTAGATATATTAGTGGTGTTGCATTTACATCATGGAAAAATGTGGATGTAGAGTTACGTTTTTCAACCAAAAATCGGGGATTTTTTTAAACCAGAGAAAACCAGGATCCCTGAAAGGGGCTACATTTGTTCACTTTCATACGCTTGCGCCGGCTGGTTGTATGGGTTGGTGCTAGCGCTGGCTGCGCATGGGTGCTGGTGGCAGCTCTGCGAGCAGGAGCTGGCTCTGCGCGCGTGCAGGCACTTGCTGTGCGTGCGCGTGCAGGCGCTGGCTTTGCGGGGGTGCTCGCATTGGCTCTGTCGGGGCTGCTGGTGCTGTCACTGGCTGTATGGGTGCTGGCCCTGGGGCAGGTTGTGTGGCCCCAGCTACATGCCGCGGTGGCGGTCGGCGCTGAGCCCTACACCAGGCAAGAAACAGCGCGAGGCAGGCGCCAGCCGCTCGGCCCCGCCCGGCGCTGACGTCAGCCGGCCCCGCCCTGCCGCCCGGAGCCGCGCTGGCCCCGCCCCTCCCCCGGGCTCTGCGCTGATCCGGCCGCCTGCCATTGGCTATGCAAATGAAGGAACCCCCGCGCCGCCAATGAGCAGCGGCCACGGCGGAGAACTGGCAGCCGCGTGCGCGGGGGGCAGCGGCCGGTCCGGCACACGGGCTGCAGCCACCGCCACCGTCATGGGCGCGCTCGGCGTGGGCCGCCTGTTCCTCGGTAGGGCCTGGCGCGGGGGGTTCAGGCCAGCCAGGTTCCGGCTGGGACAGGGCAAGGTGGGGTCTCGTGCGGCTCCTCGGGGAGGAGGGAGCTGGTGACCCTGGCGCACAAAGCCGCTAGCCGGGCCTGGGGCCTGGTGCTTACGGCGCGCGGGTAGGGTCGGCCCTCCACAGGCAGCTGGGTCGGGTCGGGTCGGGTCGGGTCGCTCTTGAGAAGCGCTGGTGCGAGGCTACATCGCCCCTCCCCTGCGCTCGCCCTTGCGCTCGGCAGTAGGCAACTTAGGGGCGTCTTGAAGGGTCCGTTCGGGCCGAGCGGAGACGGGGCGACGCGGGCGGGTGGACGAAGCCGTTGGAAGGCAGGTGGGAGAACATGAGATCGCAGGCGTAGAGGAGGTGTCCTGCGAGCGTGGTGCAGTTGCACAAAAAGAGGACATCCAGTGAGATGGGAGACTGAACTTTTTCCACAGGTGAATTGACAGATGTTGCGGTGGGAGGCTGCAAAGAAACTGCAGCCCAGCTCTACCTAATAAGCATCTAAGAGGGCTTAGATGTGTTGGGGTGATTGTGTGCCACCCGTTCAAGCCCCTGAATGCACCTGCTTTTGTAGTGCCCTCGTGGCTGGACCCTTGTGATGGAGAGGCAGTTCACCCTGTTAGTCTGAAGGCGGAGATGCACCTTGTAGACCAGCTAAATCGAACATGCGTAAGTTTTCATCCATTTGATGAAGTGAACTCAAGGGCATGAAAACTTGTAGCTGTCTGATTTAGTTACTAGTCTATAATAGTTGTTCTCAACCTTCTTAAGACTCAAGGCACCCATTGGAAAATGCCAGTTTTTAGTCTTCGTTCCTTATTTTTGCCTGCAGAAAAATAACAGCAGGTTTTTTTTCTGTTGCAGAGTACTCAGATAAACCACAATTTTGGATTTCTAGTTGAAATATCTGGGTTTATCTTGTGAATCTGGCTTGTAAATCTAACCATTGTGTCAGGTATCCAGGTTGTAGCTGTATTGGTCTAGAGGAAAAAGCCATCTGGGCTCGTGGTACAGGTGATATCTTTTATTAGACCAACATAATTTTTGCAGAAAAGAATTTTTTTTTTTTTTTGCAAAAATCTTGTTGGTCTAATCAAAGATATCACCTGTACCATGAACCTAGATTGGGTGTCACACAGTGATTAATTAAAGCAGTGGTGTCCTTGACAGGATCTCAAGGAACCCCAGGGTATGTTGGCACCTGTTTGAGAATCACTGGTCTGTAAGATGCATTTTTACCCTGCTTTATGGCTATCTCATACACACAGTAGCAAGGAGGACAAAGACCCCGCCCATCTGTATCAATGGTCTTTTTTTGTCCAGGGACTTTCATGGGGTGGGAGAGTATCGTGCTTAGATGATTTAGTTTCTTTTCACACAATGCACAAAATAGAATCGGGGCTTGCCTTTCTGGGAATCTTAAATATTTTTTTAAACTGTTGACTGTAGAGCATGTGAGCAGAACTGACACCATCACAGCTGGAAGTAACATTTAGGAGTTCAAGTAGGTCATATATTAAGATAGACTTCTTAATCCTAGTGACCACTGCCCTAAGTTTCCTCCTCCTTGAAGAGTCCCGAAGAACAGCATTGTGACTTTGAATCCTGCTGTGAAGATTTGTAATGGTAAAAAATAAGAACTCAGCATTCAGGACTTGAGGCATGCATGCATGCATGCTCCCTAAACAAAAGGAAAATCAGAAATGTAACTATCTTGGTTAAATGGCAAAATTAAAAACATGTTGAATTCAAATTGGGAGTTTCCCTTGGCAAATGGAAATCTCGAATGAGAACAACAACAAGTTGAAACCACAGAAGATAAAATACAAGAGAACATTTGAGGAAAGGGCAAAAGACAAATGCAGCTTGAATATTTCAAGAGAGGAAGTTTAAGTGCTGACATTGCTCTTGCGTCCTGTATGAAAAAATACCAGCCACCTAGATGCTGTAACATGCATTTCAGTTGGTTGTCAAATGATGGGTTGTTGCCATTTGGAAATAGCGGTATTATACTGGAGAGTCATTGCTTTTGGTAACGCAAAGCATGTTTTGAGCTGTTTGCTCTTAAACCGAATTTTGTCTTATCTCCAGTGAGCGTTGGGGTGGATACGTTGTTTTCCTGGCTGTCCATAACTAGAATCCGGTACACCAGGGAGACTGAGAGAATCTTTTTTTAATCAGAAAGCGGTGTGTTATGGATAGGGGGAGGAAAGACAGAACCCAGCTAATCTTTTCTCCACTTCAGAAGACCTTCCCTTATAGGTATCTGTGAAAACAAAATGTGCAGCTTTTTTCTAATAGTTTACCCTCCAACACATCTACTACTTTTTCTCTTAGAATCAGTGCGCTATTTCCAGGTGGGTTTAGGATCCTGTACAGCTAAACTTTTGACAAGCAGTGGGATGGTCTGACTAAACAGTACCATGTATGGCTCTGAAGGAGGATCTTGCCTATCTGGGTATAATGTACATCAACATGCGCATCAGACTTTCTTGCAAGACTGTCCTTCTGTTGGATGGTTATGACAGAACCTGCCGGTAAGGAAGGTTCTCTTTCAAATCTCTGTCAATTGGTATTTAGCTTTTTTGCTATACAACAAAGTTTTCTATCTAATGCAGTTACAGCTGTTCTTATGTCTCATTCATTCCTATGCTAAAGCAAAATTACAAAGGTGTTTGGAGATCTTTGTGGTTTGCATTTTGCAAATATTTGAGTTTTCCTGGATTGGGTGCCTGTAAGAAGCGATTTTATGGTTGAATGTTCTACTGAAAGCAAGTTTCAATTGTAAGAAATAATGAATCATGCTGTTATGTCAGAGTTCTCCATCCATTGAGCATAAAAACTATTGTAAGACTGAGTAAATTTCACAACAAACTTAAATTTCCTGAAAATACATCTAAACTCAGATAAATTATCCACTTATGAAAAGGGTGAGACATGAAAGAGTGGTTGAATAAATTCAAAGAATTCCACTTTTGATCCTAATCTGGCACAGGTATCTTAGGTGAGGGGTATTAACAACATAGAAACCCTTTTACCAGTTATACTGAGCTCAGCTCCTTGAAAAGAATTTGCTTTTCCCTTGAACAGTTCTGATGTGCCTCCTGCCCTCTCAGTGTCTTAAACCAGCAACTGAGGGCAGCTATTACTGTAGGTCACAGTGACTCACTGCAGCAGTGGGAGTTGTGTGAGAGTGCTATGTGTGTGAAGGGAGGGATCCGCTCTTTCATGTGAATAAATGTGCTCAAACCAATCAGTGGTTAAAAACTGAGATTAAGTCTAGAAAGAGACCCCTCTGAGGCAGTGGGTATAGTGGACAGGAGTTTAGGAGAGTTGTGTTCTGATTGGTTTTCTTGGCAGTGAAGGAGTGACATGCCTGTCTGCAAAATGAAGTAATGATACTGACCTCTATAAAGTGCTTTGAGATGAGCTGATGAAAAGGTAGATAAATATTAGAGCTGGGTGATATTCTGGCCTTGGCTGATCACATGTACCCTGGGCCCTAGATTGTTGTCATCACTAAAGCAAATCTTCCAGAACAATGGCCAATCCTCATTTTGAAACATTCCAGCTGGAGAATTCCCCGCTACCCCTCCTAGCTTGTACCAGTGGTTAGTCACCTGGTGCACTGCTCGGATTCAGATGAAAAATGAAGTTACGTGGCTTTGTGGTTCTCTCCAGCTCCTACTGTGCCTTTCTCTGATAAATTAATCCCATATTTACTTGAATATAAGATGAGGTTTTTTTACCCCAATCAGCCTGTGGAAAATAGCTCCTCATCTTATGATCACATACAAGGAAACCCCATTAAATACTCTGACAGCAGTTTAATGGAAGGTAAAATCAGCATGTGCTCAGTAATGGAAACCCACTAGGAAGTTCAGTGCAGTCCACACTGAACAAGACTATAAAGCACCTGGCCCATATTGGGTAAAGATAGTGATGGGATCCTACCACAAAGATAAATTAGTATAGTCCACCTGAATGAAGTCTGGGGTACAGCTCATTGTATATAGTCCCCTCAGTGTCAAGTCTTTTTCAAGTCATGGTGAATGACAACATTGAATGCATTCTGACTCACTCTTCACTCCCATAGCTGAGCTGCACCTTTCTTTCCTATTTCCAATTATTCGTGTTTCTTCACCAGCCTTAAATGTCTGGCAGGCATTACCCAGAAACCCTCTGTTGCCCTCCCTCTTAGCCTGTTGTATATGATTAGTGTGGCCCTGCCCTCGGTGAGGAAGAGCCGGACCAAGTTGCCCTGCACCTCATATGTATATAAATTTTATCAGTTATCACAAGTGCGGGATGAAGCAGCATGACAGGTCTCTGCCAACAGGACCTGTGCTAAAACTAGTAGTAATTGCTTCAGCTTTGCCTGAACTTAGTCTATGGTACATTGGTATCTGTAGTAACTTGCTTATATGCAAATTTTGCCTTTCTCACTTGTGCTTCAGAAGAGCAGCGTCTGACAGTAAAGAGTGGGGGAAAGAAGTTGTGGTGGGGGGAGAAGAGGGGAATGCCAAAAGCAAGAGGGCCACTTGACCACCCTTCCCCCCCTTAAAAAAATATATATATATATTTTCCCTCCTGTATTAGGGGATGGGGGACAAATTCATGGCAAACCTCCATTAATTAGGTTGTATACCTGGAAAATGATAAAAAGTTTATGAATTTCCCCATATATAGAATCTGATTATTGGGGGCTTGGCTTGTATTCAAGTAAATGCAGTGTCTGGTGTCTCTGAATTGTGAAGATGTTTCTAAATAAACTTTTTCTAAATAAGATGGCTCGATCTTCCTTTTTGATAAGCCAGAAAGACTGAGTTACTTAAGTCTTTCACTGTAAAGATTTTTTTCCACCCTTTGAATAATAAGGCTCCTGTTTGTTCCCTCTGTAATTTTTCAGGGGAATAAGATGCTGCCCTTCCATCACCTAACAGCTTGCAGAGTTGCACAAGGCTTGTGGATTGTGTGTTTTATTCCATGGGTGTGACCCAGAAGCTGGATTGTAGTCAGTTTTCATCCCAACAATATTGAAGGTTCAAGAACCCTTTAGGAGTAAGAATGGGAGAAGCTCCAGCCTTTCTTCCTCCTGTTCTCCTTTGACTTCAGTCCAGAACTGAATATAGCAACTCCTTGTTCCCGATCAGTGTAGCTTAAAGCTATTTGGCTAGCATGTTGCAGTGTTGGGGGCGAGCAGAAAGATCTTGTTTATGTACCCTTTAAGTCATGTTGTTGAATAAGGAACATGGTCAGCTGATTCTGTAGTTGCCCTCGAGACCCTGAGGAGGTCCTGCATGCTTCCAGAATGTGCACTCAAAGGCCTTGCCTGCTTGCTCTACTCTGTATGCACAGATGGTTGCAGTGGCTCTTGTAGGCAAACCCAAATGCCTTTGTGAGGAGGTTTACAGGCCAGCACAAATTTGAGCCTCTTTGCTAGGATATGTTGGAAAGAACAGCATCTGTTGTCCAAACTTCTGTATTCCTGGCTATGTGAGTTTGGGTTTCTTTGTATGCAGAGGGGAAGAAGAATGATGCATCATGCCTCAGCTTTCCTCCTGGCAGACTTGGGCTTCTTGCCATTTTCATTTTTGCTGCTAAAAAAAAACAAACATGGGGGAGTGACATGGCCATGAACTTAGGAACCCACTGATATTTTTAATGGGAGGATAACTTGTGTTTTGTTCTAGGAGCTGTGAGCTGTACATTCTTCCTGGCAGTTAACAGTTTATATTCTTCCAGTGATGTGATAGAGCTAACACCAACAAATTTCAACAAGGAAGTCCTTCAGAGTGCCAGCTTGTGGCTGGTAGAGTTTTATGCACCGTGGTAAGTGTTATGGCTGTAGTACTAAGCAAAGTCCTAGTCAGCACTTTTGCAAGAGGAGTGACTGACTTCTATAATCAACCAGCTTTCTTTTCACTCTTGCATCATGGAGGAATACCAAAGGTGACTCACTGCTTGATCCAGGATTTCCCTTCAGTTTCTGGCACACATCTCACTTGATATTGTTGTGGCCTTGTGGCCAGCAACGTTTCTCTTAATGTTGCCCTTTTCAGAGTTAGACTTTTGAGTCAAATATATATTAGGCTTCTGAAAGCATAGTAATGTAATGTGCCAAACATGGCTTGTGTGTGCATGCTTTCATAGGTACCTGAAAGAGAACACTGTTTCACTGTTTGGTTTTGGTGCTAATTGTTACAAACCGACAGGGGCCACATACGAGTCTTAACTTTGGAAGGTTTCTGGGTAGACATGAAGCGAGGAAGTGAAGTTGTATTGACTTGATGTTCCCCCTAATAATGGGTAAAAACAGAGGCCACTTGCAAAAAAAGAAAATCAGTTTATTCTTGCATATTTTGTCTCTTTCCAAGTTCAAACTGATTAGATTTCTTAGATGTTCTGTGAAAGACTTTATACTATCTTGGTTAAAAACTGTTTTTCCCAAAAGGTGTGGTCACTGTCAGAGACTCACTCCTGAATGGAAGAAAGCGGCCACAGCATTAAAAGTAAGTCTTGCATTTCCTCAGGCTTGTACTGAGGTGTGGGGATTGGTTTTCATCTGTTGTCATGGAAACAGACAGTAAATATAAGGTTACATTTGCAAAAGTCCTACTTGCCTGGGTCAGGAAGTGGCCATTGACAATGGGGGGGGAGGGTGAAAACTGCCGGGGTCGTGGCCCCTGGTGAAGCCACAAAGCCTGCCAAGTTTCAAGAATATTCAAGAAGTTTCAAGGTGCAGGGGTTTGGGGGGAACTGCACCTCAAGCTGTGGACAAGCAAAACTTGTGACGTGGTTGACCCTGTGTGTTTAAGGTGCAGGAGGGTGAAAGCTGCAGGGATGGTGGCCCCTGCTGAGGCTGCAAAGCCTGCCAGCTGTTGAGGGGATCAGTGCAGGGGTTCTGGGGCCCTGCATACCTAGCTGCTGATGGACAAAACTCCTGACTTTTGCTTGTCAGGCTGACTGTCTCTGTCTTGGGGCAGTTGATTATCTGTATTGATTCTTTCCTCTCTTTAGCCTGGTTTTGTAGGTGCTAATTGATGTCAATTAACTGGTTAGGTTAGCTGGGTCCTGTGTATTGAACTGGTCCCTGAGTGAATCATGATTGATTGGTAACTGGTAACACAGTAGCTTAGCAACCAGGCTTGCAGTAGTATCTCCCAGCCCCCAAGACAGAGACAGTCAGTTCATCCAAATCGGACAAAAAACAACAAAGTTTATAGATATTGTATTGTTTCCCCATTATACCCTATGGCCGGATCTGCAAGGTGGCTCCAAAGCGCTTCGGAAGCTCTGAACCACTTCTGGAAGCCTAATGAGGCCAGCACTTCGATCCAGACATGCTGCTTCATACCCTGAAGCGTCCGAAGCTTCTCCAGGTCCAAAGCTCTGTCCGACGCCTCGCACAACCCTAACTGACAGGCAAATAGAAAGTTGGCAGTAACCTCCTGGACTTTGATTTTTCTGTTTTAAGTTATGCACTTTAACAAAGAAAGTTAAAAGAGGAGTTTGCACTTACAGCTGTTGCTGTAAGTCTGAATAAGTGATTACACACAGACCATCAGTTTAATATCTAGTAGTACTGCTCTTTAGGGAATATCTTCTCATTGGTTGCTGCCCTTTCTATCTGTCGAGATCCCAGAGCCTCCATGTACCTGACAATTTTTTTACTTGTTCTTCCTGTCTAATTAGTATCTCTCAAATGCATTACATTACAGTGGCTCTTTTTAATTTCAACAGGGTGTGGTGAAAGTAGGCGCAGTGGATGCAGATAAGCACCAGTCACTAGGTGGTCAGTATGGTGTTAAAGGATTCCCAACTATCAAGATATTTGGAGCCAACAAAAACAAAGCAGAAGATTACCAGGGTAAATCTTGTGCAGTCCCATATGTTGTGTGTTTTAAAGACAATGGTTAGCACTGCTCACATCTACTGTCAAATATTAGGTACTGTATACTCCTGTCAGCCTTGGGATTGATAAAAGGCTGTGTGCTAAGGCTGTTAACTTGTTTCTGAGAGAGCCTTATGCCTCTGATAGCCCTCAAAACTGTCAGTTTCTGATCAAGTTTTTCCAGTATTTTAACAGTTTATTTCTATGTGTACACCAAGGGTTAAGTGACTGCACAAAGGGTATTTGTGGGTTGTGTTGGTAGTGGCAACTGCAAGTGCAGTTGGTACTTTGCATGGGATTTCCTTGCGTTTTGGTATTTGAGGAAGTTCATTTGAAGAGCATTAATCTAAATTAATGGAATCCTATCACACGGCACTATTAGGTCCAGTCCTTTTCCCATTGAAGCATCTGGAGGAGAATGGGACCCTACATCTCAGCTTATAAAACTAAATAAGCACCATATTTAACTGTCTTGTAACTCTGGTTCTTTATTTTGCTGTGTTGTAGGGGGTAGGACAAGTGAAGCTATTGTTGATGCTGCATTAAGTGCTACTCGATCTATGGTAAAGGAGCGTCTCAGTGGCAGAAGTGGTGGATACAGTTCTGGAAAGCAGGTGTGTGTCAGGGAATGAATAACCCCTTTGTTTGTTTGTATCCAAGATGGTTTTGCCAAGTGACCTTGGTGCACAGATGGTACCATTTTGTGTAATGTCTCTTGCAAGTCAGAGGCATGAGCTCTTAAGACTTGTTCTCCTCAGTATCTTCTAGCGATATACTTCATTCGTTCTTGCTAGTGCAATACCTACACCCTGTCTGGAAAAGCATGGGATGTGGGTCTTGATGCATGGGCATCTGGTGCCACCCGAGTCAGAGGGAGCAGGTGCCCCCCCCAGCACCTGGGGGATGGGGGCAGGTCAGTAGTGGCCATTCATGCTGACCAGGAAGTGCCAGCAGCACTTCATCTGGCACCCCCACTCCCCAGCTGGTCCTTGCAGAGGGGCAGACAGGAGTGCTAGTGCTCCCCACTGCCCATCGCCTAAACAGAGAATGCAGCCTGTCGGGTGCATGTGCACCCCTGTGCATCCCCTACACATTGCCACTGTGCGTAGAAGCCCATTACTTTAGGCTTTTTAGCAGTAGACACTTCCCTCCTTCCTCCAGCCATAAATCTCTCCCTCAGGATAAAGTAAAGTGAACGTGGTTTGTAAAAGGGCCAATTCACACAAGTGACTGACACTCTTACCAATGGCAGTAAAAACTCTTTTTCCTGAGTGTCTTACCACAGATTATTCTTCAGTCCAGAAATGGCAATGGGCCTCTATGAGCTTGTAGGCTTTTAGGAGCTTACTTGAAAAATCTGTGTTCTGATGATAAAACATTAGTTCAGTTTCAGATGTACATCAATAGACTAAAGTTAACTGACAGTATTTTTAATCTCCCTGATTTTATAAGCCAGTAGCAGTTGTTTAAAAGTTAGGTGACACTTTAATAGCTCCTGGTTCTACTCTGACATGCTTTCCACTTGAAACATACTATGTAATGTGGTATTAAGCATGTTGGTATTGCTTCCATGGAACATCCATAGTCTCCCCCAGCTCTGCATGACTGCCAACTTTGCCAGCATGAGGGGCATGGTCCCACCACCAGCTGACATCAGTACTCTCCTGCAGCAGGAATGCAGATTTCTGCAATGTTCACTGCACCATAGACTCAGGAATGCAGGCCCTACAGTCCCTTCAGTGTAGAAATTCAAGGTGTGTGCGCACCTATACTGGAGCAACAGAGGCTGCAAGTCCCAACCACCAGTGGCTGGTCTACATGCTTCAGATTCAGAAATGAGGTGAGGATGTCTTGGGGGTGCCTTGTGCTGATGCTCTTGAGCAGGCTTGTCCAACATATGGCCCAGAGGCATTTTCTGAGGCCTGAGGTGCTGCGACGAGAAATGAAAGTAAACACTGTTTACTTTCGTTCCCACCCCTTGTCCCTTCCCCAGCCCCTCAGCAGCTTCCTAATAGCTGCTGAAGGGCTGGGGAACGGACAAGGTTCCCACATGCACCGCATCAGCTTGACGTTGCTGACAAGGTGCATGTGGGAAGAGGAGTAGCCATGTGCCGTTTGGGATGGGGATGAGCCCAGCCGGAGCAGAAGGGGCTCAGCTGCACTTTCCCCCTACCTGTGCTGGTCAGTCCCGAGTGGCACAGCTAGCAGAAGCGGCTGTGGAGCTGGTGCTGACCCGGGTGGGTCTGTCCCATCCTCAGCAGCATGCAGCTAAAGCTGGTTTCCCACGTGTTGCTGGGGATGGGAGGAGGCCAGCCAGGTAGGGGGAGTGGAGCCGTGTGCCACTCGAGACAGGATGAGCTTGGCCGGAGCGGCAGCAGCTCGGCTGCATTTCCCCCTGCCTGCACCAGTCAGTCCCAAGCGGCACATGGCTCCACCACTGCTTCTGCTGGCTGGTGCCGACCTGGCCAGCCTCCTTTCATCCCCAGCAGCACGTAGGAAGCCAGCTTCAGCTGCATGCTGCTTTTCCTGGCCGGTGCCGACCCAGCTGGGCCCATCCTATCCAGGGCAGCATGTGGCTGAAGCTGGCTTCCCACGTGATGCTGGGGACACCCGGCTGGGTCAGCACTGGCCAGCAGAAGTGGCAGTGGAGCCTCCTGCCTTTTGGGACCAGCTGGTGCAGGTAGGGGGAAAGTGCAGCAGCGCATGGGGAAGCCACCGCTGGATAGGATGGGCTGACCGGGCTGCACCAGGGAGGGAAAGCTGTGGCTGATCCCCCTGCAGCTGTGCTGTATGCTCGTTTAAGACAACAGTATGCTCAAGAATAGAGCATGAATGATCTGGGCTCCAACGTAAATTTGGAGCAGGTAAAAAATCTTTGTAAAAATACTGTCCAGTGTTTGGATTGTGTTTTAGCTTCTGTTTCTCTTTGTGCGGGACTGGGGGTTCAACTTGTTACTACTTGTTAAAGATGTGTTACTAACAAGTTGTTAATTCAATAAAAGTAAATCTTCTTGAAGATCGTTCTCAAAAATGCCCATATTTTGTTGCTTTGATTAGTTTCCACTCTGGCTGATATCTTTTCCACATTTGATCTGTCAACTTGCATTATGCTTCTTTCATTCATTGAGAAGTGAGTAGAAGCAAAAGTGTTTATTTTATTCAAGTGTTTGGTATTATTTCATTGTTGCTTTTATACTGTTTTTATTTTGGATTTTAAACCACATTTCATTTTCACTTCCTGCAACATCAGTGGTGTCAAAGGTCACATGACATCACTTCCTGATGTGATACTGCTTCCTGTGAGGTCTTTGAATATGGCTTACCAGCCCACTGGGTGATAAAAAAGTTCATGATCCAGCCCCGTATTCAAAAAGGTTGGACACCCCTGCTCTTGAGCACACAGAAAACCAAGCCTGGTGTGTGGTGCCAGTGGTATCCACATTACCTCATTTCTGGCACTGACACATGTGAGGGTATGAGTGGGCACAGTGTATTGCGTCAGCAGCAAGACTGAGCTCCCTGCTGAAGCAGTCCTCGAGTTTCTAGGATCTAATTCAAAAGATACACATGGGAGGGGTGACATAGCTATCAATCTTTGTTTTAACTTATACATCTGCTTAATGGAATTGTTTTAATACTGTCGACATGGAGGTATCAGAGCTAAGTTTGTTAGCTTTCTGTACTTCTGTTTTGACTTCTGTCCACAGACTTCAACTAGTAACATAAAATCCAGACAATGAAAGGGTTAACAAGACCAGAGTTTGTCCTCCTTACGTAAGGTCTCTGGGCACCTTAAGTACCTATAAAATGAATAGGGTTATTAGGTTCAAGCTCTGAATTGCAAAATGTCAAGGTAGGGTAACCAGAGGAAAAAGTAAAAATCCTCCAGAAATCCAAGCGTGAATTTTCTTTCTCCACCCCCCCTTCCTTCTTGCCTCACATATGCTCCTAAATCTTGTTGTCAAAAGTGATGGTCCAATTGACTCTTAAGGTATTGTGTGAGCCCTTCCTTTCTGTTGAAAGTCAATGGGACTTAGTTACCTTTTGATAATGGAATGTGTATTACTGAATACATTGGATACCCTGAAATCTTTGCTTTTAATCTAAGTTATTGCTACCAAAATTGATAAGAATTTTTCTACCTTGATGGTTTCTTTTGTAGTTTTACGTGTGAGACCCTTGGGGAGGAGAGTGAGCTGAAAGGTTTTTAACATCTAAGACCTTACTTCTGAGCTTTCAAGCGATGATAATCTTGTTAATTCTTGAAGACCTGAAAGAAGGTCTATCTTCCTGTTTCTTGGGTTTTGTCAGTATAGCCAGTTGCTTATATCTGTTGAAAAAGAGGCTGTTTAGGTGCATATGAACTGTTTTGGGCAGAGGCTGTGGGGAAAAGCAGTTGATTGACTTTCCTTTTAATTGGAGTGACCATAAGGAAATCCAGGACACCCCCTTTCTACCTGTTGCCTCAGTTCTCCCAAGTCACTGATGCTCCTGGAAGCAGAGGTGAGGGTGGGATGGTGCACCAGCCAGTGGTGTCTGCTGGCATTGTGCCACTTCATCTCCCTGCCAGACTGTGTCCTGCATTTCTGGGATGCTCATTTTAATTCACACCTACCAACTGGGACCAGATTCCAAAATCTAGGGCTGTCCCAGCTAAACCGGCATGTATAGTCACCCTACCTTTTAATTGAAGTTTTATATTTCTTGACCTACAGAGCAGCCGAGAAAGCGGTGACACGGATAAGAAGGATGTGGTTGAGTTGACTGATGACACCTTCGACAAGAACGTCTTAAATAGCGATGATGTCTGGCTGGTGGAATTTTATGCCCCTTGGTGTGGACACTGCAAAAAGTAAATGAAGCTGTTGGCAGTTCACCTGCAATTGATCCTTTGCCATGTATTTAAGTATGCAGGCAGCCATATACCTTGAAATGGGACCTTGTGTCTGCTTTGGTATAAGTGGGTTTGTACTCTTAAGTTTTCCCACCCCAAAGATGTATAAGCCCCTCTGGTTAAGAAATTTAAGTCTTATGTGCTCATTAGAGCACCATGTCAGCACAAGAATTTAGCACTCCTTGGACTTGCAAAGAATGGATTCCCTGCCAGTTGTAGCCAGTGAGGAGATTCCCAGCAAAGGGGTCAGGCTCTCAAAGTGTTTTTTGTTTGCTTTGTTTTGCTTTTCATGTTAAGATTATCTGTATTCTTAACACAGAACTCGGTTTCATCTGAGAGATTCCAGCTACCTGTCATGTCTTGCAGAATTTCTCCTCTGTCATGGGTGTTCACTGTAGTTTCACTTCTTTGTTTTTAAAAGAACAGTTGCTTGTAACACTAAAAAACTGTTTTGCTTTCTAGTCTGGAGCCAGAATGGGCAGCTGCTGCCACAGAAGTGAAAGAACAAACTAAGGGCAAGGTGAAGCTAGCTGCTGTGGATGCCACAGTAAATCAGATGTTGACTGGTCGATATGGGGTGAGTCTGCAGTTTCCAAATTCCTTTCCCTCTGGTTACAGGATGTGGGATAAGGTGTGTTCCACTCTATACCAGAAAAAATGTGTACGGTGGTACCAATATTTTATTTTACTGTAAAGCACTAAAAATATATTAGAAATGATTATAACAATTTGTAGAAAAAGCAGTAGCTATTCTGATTTGGAGGGGGTGCAGCATAGAGAAGTGTAGAGAACATAGATGTGGATGTCCAGCAAGTATATCGAGGATCTTGACAGCTTACTGCCACAAGGCCTGGCATAATTCTGTACTTCTGTAGCACTCTACAAAGTCTCATCCTAAATTAAATACCACTTCCTTTGGACAGGCTCTCTTGTACCTGGGTCAGAGTGCAGCAGTTATTTCCAGAGTGCAGCTGTCGTCTTATCTAGCTTCTAGTCATCTAGCTGGAAAAATTCCAAAGATGTTAAGCTATACAGCATAGTGAGACTGCAGGCTCAGAACTTGGTGCTCCAGTAAACAGCTCCTTCCCTCAAGGAGGCTGGTCTGCATGGAAGAACTAAGCATTAAGGCTCGTATTTAACTGTAAAATAACTTACAAAAGGTGGAAAGGGAAATCCAAGTAGCATGCTGGTAAAGGGGTGAAATGCACTTGTAACTGCTAGTCAGTTACTGTAGGCCAGTCACTGTAGGCACAAAGTTAAGTTCTCATTTTATTAAATGTACAGGGCAGAAGATACCACAGTTCACCCTCTGTCCATAAGTGCCATGGGCATTAATCTCTCCCTTGGAAGCATGACAGAAGGCAGTGTAGGGTGACACTGTAGCAACTAATTTGTTCAGACAGGCATAACTTTGCTTGACAGATGCTGTGGATGGATGTGAAGAGAACAGAGGTACTGAACAGAAGGAATAACATGAACTAAATATAAACACTAGGGAAGGGGAGAGGAAAGGATAAGAGCAGGGGGTACTGCTCAGGTGTGCAGTAGGGTCGAAGAGATCAAAAGGGATAAAGTAGTTAGCCCTTATGCCCTTCAATAGGTTATAAAAGCTAGTCCAGGTAATGAGGTAAGAATCTATAATAGTCTCTATTGAGTTCATACATAACATAGTCCAGTCTGGATGTTTTCTTGTTCTTCAGTTTTATATTCAAGTCGGTTTTTAATGTTGATGGAATGTGCAGAGAGGTTGAAGTGTTTTGCTGCAGACTTTTGTAGACTGATTGGACACTAGTTTGACATCATTCTTTCACATAGATCACCCCATCTGTCCACCACAGAGGTGATCATGGGATACTAGATCAAAGGCTTTTTTTGAAGTCAAGA